TTTTTGTTAGGACAATTTATGTAATATCATTTTGTGGAAAGGGGATTTTTCTCTAATAGCCCAAACTCACCAATGAGATCGAGGATAAGTTAGGATAAGTGGCAAATCTATGATCTAGGCAATGATAGTACCATGTTAGGACAATTTATGTAATATCATTTTGTGGAAAGGGGATTTTGCTCTAATAGCCCAAACTCACTAATGAGATCGAGGATAAGGTACGATAACTCGATAAGTGGCAAATCTATGATCTAGTCAGTGATAATACCATCATCGATGTTGTCTTGATATACCAATCAAAAGCTATTAATTAGGCCAGTGACAAGTGGATCAAGATTGATTGCTATAATTAAAAATGATTGTGACGGCTGACAATTACAATTCCCTCATACACCGATGGGAGCATTCCTCATCTAAGGACACAATAATTCATTCAAATTCTCTCTAAAAAATAAACTTTTATTGCCTTCTAGCTAGAGCAAAGCATAAAGTCCGACCTGGCTACTTTTTCTGTTTTCATAATTTTCCTTTGTTGAATTAAAAGGTGTCATATAACTTTTTGAATCCAACAACTTTTACAAAATCGTGTTGTGTGATTGTACTACTCCTTTTACTACACATTTATTTCTACCATTGCCATGTCACTAGACATTGGTAACGAATGTTGTCGTCAGTAGTGTTGTTGGCAAAAATTGACGTTAGTTATTGTCGATTTTATTCCACTAGTGAATGGATCGTAACAAGAAAAGGATTAATTATCGACCTTACTTTAATAGCCATTAACTCTAACACATAAGTTATCTTAATTACAAACAAATTTATCTAAATTGCCAACATCCAAAGATTTGTGGAGTAAAATTTAATCATGTTGAAGCATTAGGATTTACAAATCCATCGTTGCGATACATTAATTAATAATCGTTCTGTTAATTCTTGTCTTTGGTTGAAAATCATTTATCCTAAATTAATCGAGAGACTGGTTAACAATTTTTTTTACCTATATATAAACTTAATTATCTCTAACTAAATTGTGAATATATAATCATTCATTAAACCACAAAGATCATTAAATAATTTCTCATGTCATAATAATATCTCTATCAATTATCAGCCTCAAACATTTAATAAATATGCACCGAAAGGACATCTAACGATTTCCTCCAAAAACTTGCATGTTGATAAAAAAAAATCCATATTCATCGATCCATCTAACCCCTAACTCACCCAACCTTATCCATTGGTAGGTGGAGGGAGCAGCTACTGTCGCTACGGTTGATTTTGAAGAGAATTTATCTATTTTATTTATTTCTTCTCAATTCTTCAAAAATTCTTGTTAGGAAGAAATAGAGTTGATGGGGATGTAAAAAATGGAGTTCGTAGAGATGGAGAAATAATAGGGCGATGATGGCTGACACTGCTCTGGTTGCAAAACTTATCAACCAAGGTAGAGGAGGTTTGTTCCATAGGTGGGTTAGGGGTAGAGGTTGGTTAGATCAAATAAGATGATTTTTTTTTTTTATCAATTATAGATTTTTGGATGAAAACTGTTAGAGATCCTTCCGACATACATTTATTAAATGTTTGGAACCGCACCGAACATATTTAAAAGTTCTGAAATCTCTTACGCAAATTTTTGACTCTCTTTTAAATCGATCAAATTACGGTCAAATTATAGTCAAATGGTGACTTTTGGCCAACTAACAAATTTTGGGAAAGAACCCACCCCAGTATCCTTTCATGGCATAGTTTTGAAAGATTTGGAGGCTATTTGATATGATTTAAATGTTTGGATATAATCGTACTCTTTTGAAAATATTTGGACCTCCTCTGGAAATTTTCCTTTTCCGTAAAGGAAAATGGAAAACTCGGAAAGGGTTTTTTGAATTAAACTACTTGTATATTACATCTGTACGTTATGAATGACTTTTTATAACGTATAAAAATCGAGAATATTGATTGTTTTAAGTATCGTTAAAATCAATGATAAAAATGTAGAGATATGCTTGGAGTACAGGGAATTTTTTACAGATGGTGCATAGGCAACACACATGGGTGAGGCTCGCGTAATTTTTTTTTTTAAATACAGGTGGGACCCACCGCTACAGTGAGGGGCCTGTAAGACCCCTGTGAAAACAGTGTCCTGTACGCAGGGCATTTTCCAAAAATGTATGTAAAATCGTGGGAGGTAAAAAAGCTGTTAACCATTGTGTAAATGTAGTAAAATTGGGGGGTTTTTCCTCACACTGGCCATTTTCAACGAACTTCGAGACGACAGCGTTTTGGTTGCCATTGCCAAACATTTCTGCTATTGGTACTCTCTACAGCACACAAAAATGGCGCTTCTGAACCACAGGTATTCCATTTCTTCTTCCTCCTCCTTACCTTCAATATGCACTCACCAATTTTCGACCCCATTATTCTTTGTAATTACAAAACAACCCCAAAGAAAACTTACAATTTCACTCTGCTCCCCTACTTCCACTCAATCCTCCCCAATATTCCTCCCATTCCTCCAAAACCCGGGTAAAAAAGAAACCCATAAACCAGAACACAATAATATCGAAGAAATCAATGACCCCATTCTCAAATTCTTCAAGACCCGAACATCGGAGCAGGGTTCGGAGCCGGACCCGCTTCAAGAAGGTAGGATTTCCCTCCAAAAGAACCGAAAAACCTCATGGCACTTAGCTTCCACTTTTGACGAACCTAATTCTGGTGATGAAATGAAAAGTTACCATCTTGGCCTTCCTGAGAATGTGAATTCCGGTTTACAAACTGCGTCAGAAGGGGAAGGAATTGTGGGGGAAATACTGGAAATTGCGAGGGGTTTACCAGAAAACGTGACGTTAGGGGAGGCCTTGGAGGGTTATGATTTTGGAGGGAGAATAGGAGAGGTAGAGTGTGTGGAAGTGTTGAGAATAATGGGCGAGGAGGGTATGGTGATGAATTGTTTGTACTTTTTCGAGTGGATGGGATTGAACGAGCCTTCTCTTGTTTCTCCTCGTACGTGCTCGGTTTTGTTCCCCATTTTAGGGAGGGCAAGGAAGGGGAATGAGTTGTTGGTTGTATTCCGGAACTTGCCCTTTGATCAGAAGAAGCAATTTCGGGATGTTCGTGTTTACAATGCTGCAATATCAGGGCTTTTGTCCTGTGGAAGGTATTGGGTTTTGACTTGATTTTACAATTCTTGGATCATATTCTTTAATATAGATGAGTTGTTTTGCTTCTTCATTTCGTTGCTATACAGTCACATTTTTGTATCAGAGGCGGTGCATGTGTGCATTGCCATGTATACTTTAGGTTTGTACATAGTTTGGATAAGGATGCAGAGATGTACAAGGAATACTCAAAATTTAATTGTGTAGTGTTTTATTCATTAATTGTCTCTGTTCATATTGGGTTCTATTATCAGTTTTTGCGACTGTGAACTTTTAATTTTTGCTGTTTTTATTTCTTTCTTTAGTTTGAAGTTTACTCTGCAAAGTTGAAGTTCAAATATGTTAAAACTTAAAATTATCATCATAATTTTGCAATTGAATACAAAATATATGCAAGTTATGGTGGTGTATATTATCAACTTAGCAACTTACTCGACCTTTTGCTCCATCATATTGTAGTATTTGTCCTCCAAAGAATTTGTTTACAATTATAAATGTATTTGTTAGTCTATCAGACTTCATATTTCTTTATTATTGCACCTCTCTCTGTATTCTGTTAACTTTAATCTAGGTACAGTTGTAGGACACTTGTGCAACTTGCTATCAACATAAATATTTATTCTGTCCTACATTTTCCCCTTAGGTTTGATGATGCTTGGAAAGTGTACAATTCATTGGAAACAGATAATATCCGGCCGGATCATGTAACATGTTCTATCATGATTACAATCATGAGGAAGAGTGGCAGTAGTGCCAAAGATTCATGGGAGTTCTTTGAAAAGATGAACAAGAAAGGAAACATGTGGAGTTTGGAAGTTTTGGGTGCTCTAATCAAGACATTTTGTGATGAGGGGCTGAAAAATGAAGCTCTTGTTATTCAATCGGAAATGGAGAAAAGGGGAATATCCTCTAACGTCGTTGTTTATAACACCATTATGGATGCTTATGGTAAATCAAACCAAGTTGAAGAACTGGAAGGTCTTTTCTCCGAGATGAAGACAAAAGGAATAAAACCGACAGCTGCTACTTATAACATTTTGATGGATGCCTATAGTAGAAGAATGCAACC